TTCAGGAGATCTGCATATGCGCGATGAGGAGAACACTTCGTTCTACTTGCGTTATCATCGTCAGCATCCTTCAGACCGATAATTTGCCCGAATTCTTCAAAATACTCGGTGTGAGCGGAAACACGATAAGCGGTGGTGATTCTATTCAATGTCACCGGCATAGAAAAGTATCCGACCGCTAAATCACTACAACATCCGAGGTATGGTGATTGTTCGCGCTAAGGGTGATAATGAGCAACAAAGTAACTGTGTTGCTTGTTCCAAGCCTAATCGGCCACTACACCGTGTTAGTTTTCGGAAAATGATGGATGTTTATGGGTATCGTCGACCTATGAGGAGATACAGACTTATCACCACAACTGTAAGAGCTCTCCAGTCAAATGCATAAATGCATGCATGTTGCTTAATACAAGAGCCCGGCTATGCTCAGTCTAGTGGAGGCTAGTTTGACACAGCTCACGACCTGGCAATCTACAGCACGTTCTTCGCGAAAAAAAATAAATACAGCAGTGGAAGGAGACAGACGGAAATCGACCACGATCCCGTAAGAAGAGCATCCCTCAGAACAGTGAAGGACATCAACGTTCTCCAGGAGACTTTGGTATAGATTTACCCAAGAAGACAAGGGTTAGAACCGAGCGGAGAATCCGGTGGTTCAAAGTGGCACTAAGCGGAGAAGGGCGACCTCAAACGAAGAACAATGGAAGTTGGTCTCCCGGATCTTAAGGCGTCAATACATTGGACTTGGAACAACGCGGTCAAGACTGCCAGCGAAGTGCCAAGGAGGTACGGGGTGATACGCGAGGTAAAATCAGAGGAGATAAGGCTGCATAGTTCTGGAAAAAAGAAGTCCATCGAGCCGTAAAGCGGAAGAGATAAGCGTTCAAGCAGTGAAAGGAGACGCCGAACACTGAGGACCTAAATGCTCACCAAAGTTGGAGGCTTTAAGGCTGACGTCGCCATGAAATGGACGCCTTGTACGAAAAACTGGAATGCAAAAATGCAGAAAAGTTCGTCTTCAGACTGAATAGGGCCGGCATCGGGCTAGTCAAGACATCAGGAAGGTGAAGAGCAAGAGCGGTGTCATCTCAAGGAAGAGAACTGAAGTCAAAAGGAGGTAGAATAATCCAGAGCACGTCTGAGTGAAGAGTTTCCCCACAAGGACACTCCACAAGCAGAGGCAACAGCTGGCCCTATCTCACTCTGGACAGGGTATGAAATTTGTCGAGAAGTAAGAAAGGAGAAGGAAGGGAAAGCGGTTGATCCATATGGGGTGCCAATCAAGGCATGAAAGGCGCCTGTAGGTACGGAATAGGATAGCTCAGCAGCTTCTTAAACACCGTCACTGCGGAAGGAAGGATGCTCGATGCCTGGAGAACACGTACTATCGTGCCATCTTCAAACGGAAGAGTGACGCGATAGATTTCTTCAACTACCGCGGAATCAAGTTGATTGCGCATACAATGAAGTTGTACGAGCGACTCTCCGACTCGAAACTGCAAGAGCTGGCCCTGATCTCCCAGGAACAGTTTGCGTTCATGTCTGGAAGGTCAACAACGGATGCCATCTTGAACGCCAGGTAGTGATTGAGAAGTATAGAGAAAAGCGCTGGCCCTGCTACCCAGCCTTTCTCAACCTGGAGAAGGCGTTCGACCGGCTACCGCGAGCAGTATCATGGAGGGCGTTCAGGAAACAAAACATGCCAGAACCAGAGTCAACCCTGCGTTGCGCAGTTCTCAACGGCCACGTTTCGCATTTTCGCCCGTTTAGACACGTTTTCTCGCGCGAACATTCACACTCGCATGCTCGAGCCGTCTGTGTCTCCGCCCATACAGCGTGCATAGAGGATCTCTCAATGTGCCGTTGCGAACTGCGCAACGCAGGGTTGGCTCTGGCCAGAACACCTGATCTCTCTGTCGAGGGATATGTACGATGGGGCCAAGGCAGCCAGCACCCCACATGGCCTAACAAAGAAGGTGAACTTTACGGTTGGAGTACATCAAGGGTCAACTCTGAGCCCGTTCTTATTTCTCCTGACACTAGATGTCCTGGTGAAGGGGCTCATGGACGGGCCACTAAAGACCACTTTCTACGCTGACGACATCGCCCTGATAGTGGATAGAAGAGAGGGACTTCAACGCAAGGTGCAGGGAAAGCCCGGCAGAACGTGGGCTCCGGCTGACTGTCGAGAGACCAAGTTTTTTGAGCTCTGAAGAGGGTACAGAGCCGTGGACGAGCATGGGGAAAGCAACGAAAGGGTGGAGGACTTTCGGCACCCTTGAAGCGATCTGGTTGCCGACGGCAGTGTGGACCAGGCAGTGAAGGCACGAATCAGTGCGGCCTGGATGAAGTGGAGGAAGTCTACTGAGGTCCTCTGCGATCGACGGTGCTTCAGAACACTGGAAGGAAAGGTGTGTCGGGCAGTGGTGAAGCCCTTGTTACTCAACGGTAGTGAGTGCCGGCCCCTGAACAAGAATCACGAAAGCCAGCTCCACTCCGCCGATATGAGGATGCTGAGATGGGCCTGCGTTTGGACGCGTCAGGACAGGGTCAGGAACGAGGGCGTCAAAGTGGTCATGCAGACTGCTCCTGTTCAGCTAAGTTGAGATCAACGAATGCGACAGTATGGGCACATGCTGAGGAGGTCACAGCAAGATCAAGCGAGGCGTCGAGGAAAATTTCGGAGTACGACCCCCCCCCCTCCCCGGTGGCCGAAGTCTATCAAACGACCCTCTTCACAAGCCGCCCTATGAGAAGGCTGCCAGATTTTCCCCCAAAACTGATCACAAAATAGCACTGGTAGCCCACACTCCACAAACCAAGTCGTTCAAGAAGTACAAAAGTAGTACAAGTCAAAGAACGATCATTATTGATGAGACCTACCAACAAATGGAGCAAAAGACAATTAACTAGTCATGAATAAGGTAGAGGCAACATCTCTTCTTCGTTTACTTCCTTTGGAAAGCTTATCAAGGTTTAGCACTACACAGAGTACACTCTCGATTCGCACTTTCACCCATAAGTTTAAAAAAAACGTTGTCATCGCCGTAGCCAGCTATGTGTTGATTGATCTTTGGCGTTAGCCGTGGAGCAGCTTGTCTACTATGTATTGAAATTTGAAACATATTCAAACGATTATAACTTTCTTCAAACTGGATGAATTTTCGATCTGAAGGCACATTTGGAAGTTTTGTGTAAAGCTCTTCCTGAACATGATTGAAGTTGCAAAATTCATCAAGAAATAAGAAATTTGGATTGACTAACGAGGAACATTTGTGATGGGTGCGAGTTTTTGCACTTTCCCAAGCCACAACTCCGTTCAAGCTCATCCAATCTGAAAACGGAATACGTAACAAACTAGAAGAGCTCTACTTAGCAGTTACTCAGAAGGCCTAATACGTCCAGTATTTACTGAATGGCCACGTTGAGGATTTTTGCCGGAGTACCGCCAAAAGTAGTTTTTCGCTGCGTTGACTTTCTTTCAACGACTACAACCCCTCTCAGGGGCGGGAATTTACAAAAGTGAAAGCAGGTTCAGAATCCCCGTGCTTTGGTCTTCCCAATAAGAATGAAATTTTTTGCGATTCTCAACTTCTACAATTATATCTTTATGCAATCGACGCTGAAAGCTGCATTTCTTGTTGGATAGTGGATTACTCCCTGCAATTTCACACGGACCCTTTCAGAATTCCCTTAATTTTCCTAATTTGAGATTTTCTTCCAGATAGGCGTAGTCGAAGCGTGCGCATTTAACCGGGCCCACTTTGGGGCGCGCAGTGTTCATCGCATCCCTTCAGGTTCGACGACGCACTTGAAAAATAGAATATCCCTTGGAAAACATGGGAATTTTGGATTCTACTTTGTGTCGTAAATCATCGAGGCTGCTGAGAATTACTACACGGGCACCTCAAATCCACGAAAATTTTGTGTGGGCAGAATAACATTAAACCTCTGTCCTTTCATGGCATCAATTCAATTCTTGATGTTTGTCCTCCGACAGTGATGATTCTACTGCATCGATCCGGTCTGATCTCTTGCTTTCAGCGGGCCAATATGACCCCCCGTCGACGTGTCGAGGATTCCTCAACGCACGCCTGACCCTGGGCTACAGGACCACCCGATAAGGGAGGTGACGGGCTTCGAAGGGCAAGGCAAGCGACCGCGACTAGCCTCAAGGAAGAAGTTGAAGGACGTCATTAAGAAAGACCTAGTAGGTGAGGTCATAGCCTCAGCAGAAGATGCGCTGAACAGGACAAAGTGGAGTAGGATAACAATGACAGCCGCCGCGGACCTACGAATGCGCGGGCACTAACGCTAGGAAGAAGAAGAAGAAAGAAAGCGCTAGGGGCGTAGCATTGTAGACACAATGGAGAAAAGGAGAAGCGAAAGAAAAAACGAGGAATCGTTGGAAAATTCATGAATAACATGTTACCTGTCAACCAAATTGATAGTTTCGCTCTCCGCGCCACGGAGAGGCGATGGTTATTGAAGTTATTCTTTCATCAAACGGTCCGCTCTCGATGGATATGACGAGGCGATGGTTTGCGGACGCTCCTTTTCTGTTTTCTGTCCGAAAATTAGGAGCTGCATTGAATGTGCGCCATATGAAGCAGAAGCTTGGCTGTTAATGAAGCAACATGTTGCGCTTTCTTTTCGGAAGGTGCGCTGGTTGCTGAGAGAATTTGCAACAACGCCTCCGCCTCGGAAGCGTTCCACTCCTGATTTAGTTGCTGATTTGAACGAGCTGTGTTGCCAGCAGCAGCACAATTCAAGCAACACAGAGGAGAGTGGATTGACATGTTGGATCGACGCATCAATATAAGGCGCCATCAGATCAAGGTGCTCGTAATGACCCTATGTGTGTTGCAGTTAATTCTTCAGTCGTCCTCACATATTCGGATCTATGTGTGTAGTAGTTGCAGGGATATCTCGGTGGACTTTATGGCTGGCTTGGTGGCGTAAACATCAGGCGGAACGTGGACGTGGCTCGATGGCAAACCATGGAAATACACAAATTGGCGGAAGGAGAACCAAATTTTTTTTATGGTACTCAGGCTTGTCTGCAGGTATCTTTAGTTCCTGTTCCACACATTATCATACCAATGGCAGAGCAGAAAATAGGCAAACAAATGGCCGCAGAATGAGAATGTGATATTCGTACGGAATACTCCCCATACGGAAACCCATAACCCCCAATGGTAGACGTCGAAAAGCTAGTGTACAATCAAGCAAGTAGAGCGATTATTCTTCACGCGGGTCCGAATAAGGTGCAAACGACCCACCGTACCCTACATGATCCCCTTATTGTTCTACCGTACAAGGCACAAACTAATTATACACACCACAAGCTTGCAAGCACTAGCGAGCATCAATAAATAAAGAAAGTTGGTAAATTTCCGTACCATGTGAAAGCATTCTAGCTTTCCTTGAATTTGAATGGTTCTGAAAAATTCCATCTTTGGTGTACTGCAATGAGTCCTATATGTTACAGATGTACGACGATGGTTATTGGGACGACCAGGATTGCGATAAAAAGAATGATGCATTTGTGTGCAGAAGGTCGATCTGATCATTTATTTTTTGATTTTGTAATAAAACGTTTGATAAATCTCACTCTTCAACATCGGACCCTGAAAATGGTCAATCTGTCCATTTGTGTCGAGGAGGGTAGGGCCTCTGCTGCCTACAAAAGAAAGCATGTAAAATGCTATAATGTCTGTCAAGGCTTTCAAGGGACTAGCATAACAAAACATCAAAGGTGGAAAAACCCCCTAACCTTTCCAGAAACACAATATTAAAGCAGGGCATGAGAAAACCCATAGATCCCTAGAAAGCCATAAGCCTTACTTCACCTCTTCCACTGAGATTTTTTTGGTTTTTCTTTGCTTCAATGAATGCTTGAGAACGCTGTCATCGAAGCCAGAAAGCGCTAGCGGATCTATGCAAGTAAGTGAATGACACGATGAGATGTGCGACCAATGAGTTGGAAGCCCTGTGAAAGCAGACCAGTGGGCGATCAGAACTGCGATGGGATGATGACATCGGAATGTTTGGGGGAGCAGACCGGAAGAACACGGCGCGACAACTCTGAATGGTTCCAAATCATGACCCGTTTCCCTGCTTATGTCAGATGAGTAACGAAAACAAATGTTACGGTAAATGTTAAAATGCTTGAAAGAGTCATTCACGGGAAAATCACAATTCTATTTTAGTCATAAATCATTGGTTTGAGACTAATCATCCACGATAAGAACGAAAAGAACAACAAAATCGCATTTGTTTCAGTAAAATATTCGAAAAAGCAAAAGAGGTGGTTTGAAGTACCACCGCACGTCTGTCACAAATTCTGGCGACGGGAATACTTCCACATGGTTATCGGAGTGAATTCACCAGGATTTTTTTCTGGCCTTTTGACTTATTGCACTCACATCTCACACTTCTACTGCATCCTATTCTATCGATCGATTTGTCTCTACTATACAAAATCGCGCGCTTCAACCGATTCTTGAATTGTGTCGTCTGGTACATATGACGACAAACGTCGTCCCTAAATAATCCGGTAAGCGTAGAGGTGACGGTTTCCATTTAGGTTTATCCTTTCACTTAGCATATCTCGTAAGCAAAATGTAGGATACATTCTATTGCTCGACACCAATATTTCTTCTAAGCTCCACGATCGAGGGAATGTAAGTGCAGCGGCGGAGGCGAGCTTGATCAAGATAAGGAGCCGCAACTGAGAGCTGAATATTAGCGTAGGAATGGAAATATGGGGGTTCATGATCGTCTCTAGCTGCGGCCAAGATCGGTGCTGTCTTATTCGCGTAGAATTCTGTTCCCTAACGTCACCGCGTAGAAGTTCAACAGTTCGTAGCTAATCGGAAGATTCTCTGGTTCGATATATACTGTATTTCATTCGGTCGAATTGGGATAGTTAAGTGAGTCATAAATATTTGTTTAACTCTGTTGTTTCACTTCCGAGTATAACCCGCGTGGCAAGTGTAAGAAGTAAGACAAGGATATTCGCGTGGAAGTGGAAACAACTTGGTGCATCGACCAAACGGTATTTCGACTCCACATCTGCTGAATTGGACTTCGAGAACATCGCAAGTCATGTCAGTCGGACAACCCTTTGCAAACGCTTTAGAAACGGTACTGAGAAAACGCTTCGCTTCACTGACTCACTTCAACGTTTGGTTTGGTGAACGATATCAAATTTTTTCTTCTTTATCATTAAGAATTGACCGATTCAAGTCCACCTCACCAGCGTTGAAAGCTTCGGCTCAGCTTGTTTCTTTTTTCAAGGCATCTCTTCTGATTTTCGATTTTTTGCGGGGTGACTCATCACAAAGCATTGACGCGACGACGCGACGATAGACGCGTAGATGTCGGCACAGTTTGTTTCACATAAGCGAATGCTGACCCGGCATGGCAACAAACTAGAGGCAGTCCTGGGGCGCTTCAAGGGCGAAAATCTTGAAACCCCTCCACTGTCGACAGAAACTGGCGCGTTAGCAGAGGAGAGGGAATACAGTAAGCGCGTACAGGAAGCACTGGGCGTCATAGAAGAGTGTACGTCTAAGATTGAAGAATGGTGGCAGAAATATGCGTATGCGATAGACAACATCGACGAGGTAACCAAGGCAGAAATCGAGGAATTTGATGCTTATTCTACCAGAGCAGAAGAAGCGCTGAGCGTAGCGCTTGATTATATCGTAATCTTGAAGGGTCGCTTACGGTCATCCACCACAACGGGCAGGGATAATGGTGTATCCCCACGCGTGCACGCGTTGAACGCCACCGATTCCGCAGAAGTTCGACCACTTACGTTGCCCACATTACCCATACCCAGCTTTTCAGGTAATGTCTGGGACTGGGAGAATTTCTCGACCCTATTCAACGCCAATGTGCATACTCAGCCAATACCGGCCCTTTATAAATTTAACCACCTGTTGAACGCGTTGAAAGGGAGGCGTACAATGCGCTTCGTAGATTCCAAGTTACAGACGAAAATTATTGGAAGGCGATCCAGTTTTTACAAGAGAAATACGGCAATAGAGAGGACCTGGTCCATAAACTCATAGTACGTTTGGAAAATGTCGGCTCGCGACATTTTCCAAACGTACACGTCATCAGCGCTTAAGGACCAGCGCGAACTTTTGGAGCAGTTGCAAGTCATCGTGTCCCAGTTAAAAGATAAGGGGGAGCAAGTCAACAGTCAATGGCTCATAAAACAAGTACATGCAAAATTCCCTGAGCGGATCCAACGAAGAGTCCTGGAAAAGAGGTATTCCAGGGAGGGAACCTTGCACATGGACGATCTTCTAGAATGGTTGGATCAGATCATTTCCACGGAGAAAAAAATCGCGCTTCATACTTCTAGAGTGGTAGGGTATGACACAGGGTCTATGAAAAAGGACCGGTTCCCCAAGGAGGGGAGGCAGCGCGTAGATCTCACATGCATGTACTGTGGCGGAGACCACAAGGCCGCGTCATGCACAAAATTTGGGACACCGCAGCAACGAGCGAACTATCTAACATGTGGAGGTCGCATGCTGAGAGGAACACAAATTGTGCTTCATTTGTGCATCCTCTCAGCATGCGACCTCCACATGCAAGAAGTTTATATGCATATGTTTTATATGCCAAGGGAGACATCACACTTCTTGCTGCTTTAAATCTAGTCCATATGCGAGGTCAACCACCTCTACGCAGGATAAGGTGTCCGCGTCGAATAAGATGAAAGAGAAAGAGGTTGTTCCCTTGAAGCAAACTTCCTCGGCATCTACTCACCAACCCAGCCGAACTAAAAAATTGGATAAGGGGCACATCAAAGGACAGGAATCGAAGTAACTCGACTGAACCGCTTTGAAGAGAACGTGGAAAGAAAGGACACTTTCCTACCCTTCGGAGATCTAACCATAATGGATAACGCGTCGCGTAAGTTGAGGAAAATAGCTGTAGATGGATTCTGGGGCCGAATGCTCCTTTATCGACAGTAAATTAGCAGAAGAGCTGAACTTACCAATATTAGGCACCACAACGCTTCGCGTAAGGACCTTCGGGTCAAATAGTATAAAGGAATTTTTGAGTAGGAAGGTATCAATGGAGATATGGGACGATATTGGAGATCCACATACGTTAGAGTTGCTAACCCATGAGGTCCTAACAAGTTCTTTGAAGACCCCACCACTAGTAGAAGAAGATCTTCGGTTCGTGAATTCGCTACGCATTCCCGTTAATCGAGCTAATAACCTGAAGGTGGCCAAACCCCAGGTGCTTCTGGGATGCGATCAGATTTGGTCGCTAATCCGGCAGGATCAGACCCACGTACGTCTGCCCTCGGGTCTGCACCTACTACCCACGCGTATCGGACATTTGTTGACAGGGCGAATGAGAAACGCGCGTCAGGTAACACAGGTGCTTACGAAGGACGAGGGGATAAACGAATGGAACAAATGCTGGTCCCTCGATGCAGAAGTCCACACTCTATCGATGGAGAGCTCCACCGAAGCTCAAGATGAAAAAAGGCTTTGGGAAAAGTATTGGACACTTGAGCAAAGGGAGTTGAAGAATTCACCTCGTCCGAAAAAGAGGTACAGTCCCTTGTAGATGTAGCGGTGTGAAATATTTTAGAGAGACCATTGAAAAAAGAGACGATGGGTACTATGTTCGTCTCCCATGGAAAGAAATCCCCTCACCGCTACCGGACAATCGGGCAATCGCGTGGAGACGACTTTTAAGCGTATGGAACTCTCTCCAAAAAAATGAAGAGCTCCTAGAAAAATATAATGACATTTTCCAGGAACAAGAACGTTTGGAGATAATAGAAGAGGTGGTAGACGAAAGGGCTCCGGTGGACGGGAGGATTCATTATCTACCGCACCAGGCGATCCTGACCCCTCAAAAGGCGACAACCAAACTTCGCGTTGTTTTCGATGCATCGGCTCATTTCAAGGACTCCCCATCCTTAAATGATGCCCTGCATAGGGGGCCCGTTATTCTGCCCAATCTGTACGGTCTTCTCCTTCGATTTCGCGTCGGACGCGTTGCTTTGATTGCAGACGTAGAAAAAGCGTTTCTACAAGTGCGGTTGCATGAAATGGACAGGGACACCACCCGCTGTCTGTGGTTGCGGGACCATAGAAGTCCTCCGAGTGCGAATAATCTACAAGTCTATAGGTTCACGCGCGTAACGTTTGGGCTGCTATCCTCACCGTTTCTGTTAGCAGCAACAACGCACTATCACCTAGATCAGAGTCAGGATGAGGTCGATCTGGTAGAGGAAATCAAACAAAACCTTTACGTCGATAACCTTTTCCTCACAGCAGACTCGGTAGGGGAAGCGAATCGCGTGTATGAGAGAACGAAAGAAATTTTTGACGAATTGCATATGAATTTCAGGGAATTTGCTTCCAACAACGAGCAAGTCAGGCGGACAATTAAGGAAGCTGATAAGTCGAAGCAGGGTGACCCGAAGGTACTGGGTATAAAGTGGAAGACATCAGAAGACTGCTTAGAGATAACCAGCGTAGTAGCGGAAACCGGGAAAGTGACCAAACGCACAGTGGCAAGCGTAGTCGCGTCGATATATGATCCAATGGATTGGATTCTACCGCTATTACACCAAACCAAAATATTCTTGCAGTCACTCTGGGAGGAAAAGCTTGGACACACCACTCCCAGAGAAAAGGAAAGCAGAATGGAGTGCTATCTTGAATAACATCCAAGGATTCCATAAGATGCTGCCACGGTTTATAGTAGCTAAGGCAACAGTGGTCAAACTGATCACGTGTGCAGACGCTAGCATAGAAGCATTGGCCGCATGTACCTATATTGCCACACCTTATTCAGGAAACCTGGTAATGGCAAAAGGGAAACTACCAAGTCTCAAGTCCAAAACGACGATCCCAAAAATGGAGCTGAACGCTCTAACATTGGCTATGAGGCTGACTAAATCGGTAACTACCCAACTCGCGCTGTGATCTCCATCAACAAGATCGTAGTTTTAACTGATTCAGAAATCGTGCTGAGTTGGGTAACAGGGGATCTACGACATGATGCTGGCCCATTTATCCAAATCGCGTGATGGAAATCCGTAAGATTCTGGACCACTTAACAAATAAGGGATACGCCGCTGGGGCACATTCCCTCACAAGAGAACCCGGCAGATTGTGCCACCAGGGGGCTGACAAATCCAAATTAAGCTGTCATTTTTGGTGGACAGGTCCAGCATTCCTTACCACCCCGGAGGAAAAATGGGTCGACGCGTATAAACCAGTGGAGTTGAGGAAAAAGGAAGAAGAAAATGCGCAAACTGGAGAGGAGGATATAATACCGGTAGATAAGGTGTTCACTCAAATGACGGCACATTACTCCGACATCTTCCAACCAATCGGAAGTTTGAGCCATTCTAAGGCTAAGCGCGTGGTAGTATATGTTCTACGATATATTCGGAACCTTCTCCTAAGGAGTAACAGGAAGCGCAAAATGCCCAACACACTTTCCCCCGTACTGAAAGAATTCGAGGCAGGGAAAGATGACATTCCCAGCGGGAAAGGAATGGCAACGGCTTCGTTATTACTTGTGAAACAGCATCAGTTGTCTTACCTGAATCCAGCCATCATGAAGTCCCTGAGACACCTCAATGTATTCGAAGATGAGTGGGGGATTCTGCGTTGTAGAGGAAGACTTGGTAAAAGCGCGTTGACGGAATCCATGAAATTTCCCATGCTTGTCCTTCAAAGGACGTGGCTTTCGCAGATGATCATTATAGAGTGTCACCAAAACCTGCACATCAGCATCAGTCATACCATGGCGAAAGTACGAGAAAAGTACTGGATTCCAAATTTGCGCGCTGAGGTGACCAAGGTAATACGACGGTGTATTGAATGTCAGAAATTTAACAATCTACCGTATAAATACCCGAAGCAGGAAGACCTACCAACGCGTAGAGTGACCAGATCACGTCCATTCGAGCACATTGGGTTACTATTTTGGCCCCCTCTCCATTACAAGTGAAGAAAACCTGGGAAAATGTTACGGTGCCATAATTACATGTCTGGTCACTAGGCTTATTCACCTAGATATAGTCTCAGACAACTCTACGTTGGCATTTTTACAAATGCTGCGACGATTCTTCGCGAGGAGAGGAGTACCACCATAACTAGCGATAATGCACCATTATTCGCGTTAGGAGATGTCATCTTGTCAGAATGTTTTCAGCGGGTGAAGAACGATTCAATAGTAACAACTGAAATAAGTAAGAGACATATCCACTGGATTTACATAAATCCCTACGCTTCATGGCAGGGAGGAGTGTATGAACGCTTGATACAGTCGGTCAAGTTAGCAATGAATAAATCATTGGGAAGAAGTACTCCATCACGGTAGGAGCTGAGCACGCTAGTTGTGGAAATAGAAGGCATGTTGAACACCAGACCTTTGACCTATGTGGAAGCAGACTCCGCTAGTGATCGCGTACTTAGGCCAATAGACTTTCTCCAAAATGAGTTTGAGGTACCGCCGCCAATTGACGGAGAAACTGAATCGCTTGAGGATCCAGAGTATCTTACTCCAGCCGAGCGCGTTACCTTGCAGACTAAAACGCAGGTAATTAAAGCTCTGCAAAGCTCATGCAAAATGACGGAGAAGTTTTGGCAAATATGGCAAACGCAGTACCTAACATCGCTGCGCGAAAAGCACCAGGTAGAGGTAGGAAATAAAAGAGGTTCTCGGATCACACCCAAAAAGGGTCAAGTAGTAATGATCTCGGATGTCTACAACCGAGACATTCCTGAAAATTAGGACGCATAACTGAGTTGGCGACCAACAAAGAAGGCACAGTTCGAGAAGCAGTGGTATCACTTCCTTCACATAGGAAAATTAGAAGACCACTTGACCTCTTGGTTCCTCTCGAATTAGATGATGAAGAAAATGTTTCAGAAGAAGAGGAAGTCATCCCAACTTCGTCGGCATCGGAGATAGGATCAGCAAGAGAAGAAAGTAGATCGGTAGAAGACCAAAGCTTGAATAGACGGCACGAGAGATATAACTTTCGACCACGTAGAAAGATGGAAGGACATAGGCGAATGGCATCCAGAATGACCGCCCAGGGTCAAGCGAGGCGTTGAGGAAAATTTGGAAATACGACCCCCCCCCCACCACCCTCCGCCGGAGGCCGAAGTCCATAAAACAACCCTCTTCAAAAGCCGAACTATGAAAAGGTTGAAAAGCTTGTTTAATTCTCCCCCAAAACTGCTCATAAAAAAGCCCTCCTACCCCACCGCCCACAAAAAAATTCGTTTAAGAAGTACAAAAGTGAAAACGTCAAAGAATAATCATTATTGATGAGTCCTACCAAACGAGCCAACGAGAAACAGACCAGAAAACGACAAACTAGTCACTAAGGCATACCTGACAACATCTGTTCTTTATTCTTTATTTCCTCCACAAGAATTACCAAATTCTAGTACTACACAGATTGTGGTTCTCAATTTGCACGTAGCCCTTCAGTTGAAAGAAGCTTTTTAACCGCCTTCGCCAACTGAGTGTTGACTGGACTTTGGCGTTGACCGTGGAGCAGCTTATTTACTATAGAGGGGATTGAAATTTGAACAAATATTCAAATGATTTTTGACTTGTTTTTGTTTGTTAACTGCTGTTTTTGGCCGCAGTTCGCCTTACGAATGTTTCACAAGAATGCTGGGTTGTGAACAAAACTTTCGCCAGAAGTGCGGGTTCTTGTCCCGCCTGGGACGAAAGTTTTGTTCACAACCCAGCATTCTTGTGAAATATTCAAATGATTATAACTTTCTTCAAAGTTAACGAATTTTCAATCTGAAAGCTGATTTGGGAGTTTTGTGAAGAGCTTTTTCTAATCAGTATAGAAATTACAAAAAGTTATAAGAAATAACAAATTTAGGCCAATTAACGAGGAAAATTCGAGACGAGCACGAGTTTTTACACTTTCCGAAGCAACAACTTGCTTCATTTCCAAATTCGAAAAGTTAATATGGCATACAAAACTAGAAGATTTTCTCTACCAAACCGTTGCTAAAGCAGCTCTATACGTCCAGTATTCAAAAAATGCCCACGTTGAGGATTTCTGCAAAATTAACGAGGAAAATCTGTGATGAGTGTGAGATTTTTTACTTCCTAAAGCCATAACTCCGTTCAAACTCATCCAATCCGAAAAGTAAGTATGCCATCATAAACAAGAAGATTTGCTCTATCAACTCGTACTACGAACGGCCTTCCAAACGTCCAGTTCATAAAAAACGGCTACGTGGAGGAAGTTTCGCAGAGGTACGGTCGAAATGTAACTGTAACTTTTTCGCTTCATTTGGAACTTCTTCAACGGCTGTATATCTTTTAAGGGCGATTATGTACTAAAGTAAGAGGCAGATTTGAAATCACTGCTTTTCTCTTGTCTAAGAAAAGTGATTAATCAGTGTTTCTCAACTTTAAAGGTTACATGTTTATAAATTTAACCCTGAAGAGTCCGTTACGCAATAGTTGAATGGGTACATCTCCCTGTAAATGGCGCGTGGACACTTTCAAATTCTCTCGATGTTCCTGAATTGAAGTTGTTTGCCAAGGAACGTACTTGAAGTGCGCGCAACAACTATGACCCTTTTCCGGATGCGCGCGTGTACCTAACATCCCTTCAGATGCGGGGTCTTACTTGAAAGATGAAATATCTCTTGGAAGCGTGCGAATAGAATCTTATTTTTGTGTGGTATCAAAACACTGAAGTAACTAAGAATTACCGGACGCGCTCAGAATCACGAAATTTTGTGTGGGTGAAATATCGTTTTTCATTGGAAATCCGTCTTTTTGGCCTGGCATCGACTCATCCTTGATATTTGTCTTCCGGCGGTGATGATCCCACTGCATCAAAATGGCTCGATCTCTTCCACCCAGCGAGCCAATACGACCCCCCCCCCTTGCGACGTGTCGAGGATTCCTCAACGCGCGCTTGACCCTGTGACCGCCACTAGTTCTCTCATAGGAATGATCTGCGCTTTGATGTTTATCGGTTTGAATCCCATATCAGCTCATGAAGCCCACCAAACTGACGAAAAACGTATTCGCTGTGTCCAAGGAGGGGTGGAAATCACATCGCTGGAGCAGGGATCATACGAAATCTGTGCTGAAGAGTACTGCACGCGTATTGATGACCCACAGAAGTTAGAAATGATGCGTTTCCCAGCGAGCAGAACACTGCATGAACACGAAGTTCAATGGAAATTCCTTGAGAATGGAACACTTAGAACTATTGGCACTGTATGCCCTAAATCCCCCTTCTGTGACAACATTAACTGCATGTTCTGCTCCATGCTATTATTTAACCCCGAGTGCTGGCCGACAGGAGCCATAGCCGCGACAGCCGTGATCCTCTACTTCCTCGTCACAGGCTGATACGTTTCTCTGTATGTACCACTCGTTGTTGGGAAACCAGTCCGCGTAGTGGCAAATGGGTTCAGACGCGCTTTACAGTGCGGGGGAGCAGCAATATGCCGCAAACTAACCAGTACGCGTCGCAGAAGAGCAAAGGACTTAGTTGAGTTGCTGGCAGTAGTAGCGACCTTAGCCATCCTGATGTCAACGGGCTACGGATGCCAACAAATTGACGTGTTTTCTCACCACACGACTGTCTGCAACAGCTCGAAGGGGAAAAGGATTTGTAAATTTCAGGTGTCGGAGATACTGAAAATAAACCCCTTCAAAACGGAAGCTTGCCTGCGATTGAGTAAGAATTCCACGACAATGTACGAAGTTCGCGTTGCCTGGAAATCGCTCATTCTGCTATGCGACCAAGAAACGGATTACTTTACACGCGATACAGAATTCAAAGTGATCAGTAGTAAACGATGCGCTCACATGGGTTTCTGCATAGGACGCAAGTGCGCTGACGTTAATGGATCTAGCCTTATTAACGCATTGACCGACCGCGGCGGTTTTTTGGTCTTTTTGGCCGTGTGGGACCCGGGCGATTTGCGGTGCTGAATCCGCCGCACCTCCAGATCCGTGATTTTATCGATAACTTTCTTAAAGCACAGTGGTACAAAACATCTCAGTAACGTCATGCGTAGAAGGTAATAGATTATATAGCTGGCGAAAGTTGCCGATTAAAGACAATGTAATGGTAATGAAAAAGGAAACATTTGAGTCATTTATCTGTTAGTGGATGCCAAAAGCTCTTTTGATGTGGTTATTCCAAGTGAAACATGGTATTTTTTCTGTCTCTTTAGAATGAATTTACTTTCAACTACCCTTTTTATTTGAGGTTCATGTATTGGAATAGGCAGTGAAAACTATTAATAACAAGCCGGTTCGGTGAGCTTGGAAACCTTCTTGTCTAAACTGGAGCATATTTGAACAAACAATGCCTATGTCGTACACAGATAATGGTATGCTTCTAACTCATGGAGAAGAGCGACACGACTTCGCGGGGCAAAAGCTGCGATTGCGTTAAGAAAAAAGATGATAAAGGTGGACCGGTAACGCGTCTCAATGGGTCCAACGAGGTGGCATAAAGTGAGACGGCGTTAACCGCGTCTCAATGTCGTGTCAATGTGTTAAAGAACTGGCATGCGCGGCAATTCCTATCGGGAACACTTATTGTGTTGCGTCATGTGGGGGATCCTAGGAAGTGTGACTGTCTCTGGCCGGGGTCTGGCTGCCTTTTCTATCGCGTATTTGCAGTCCCCACTTCCAATCGCTTGTATGAAGTCTTTTATTGTACGCAGTGGAAAGAAGCCGCCAAAGTGGAAATAACGAGTTTTAACCATACCAGGAAAGAAAGGCTAAGGTGGATAACTAAAATGCCACCGAACGTACCCGTTAAAAGAAACGCTTTCAGCCTCACGCTCAGCTCAATTACTACCCGCCTACGCCATTGCTAAATACGCCCTTTATCGCAGATGACCGAAGAACTGCACTTTGGGATTCGCGTTTAACCCCAGAGTTGATATGTGGCACACCGGACTCAGCTAGGAATTTAATTTGCGAGATGAGGGAGGACTGTTCGTGCTTTGCAGCAGAAACGCAAGCAAACTGCAAATGCAAAAAGCTTGACATTAACGCGTGGTTTAAGAATCTGCAGCATCGACTCCCAGTTATAACCCCCTCAGTGTCATTCAGACAGTATACAGAAGGGAAAATTCAGGCGGCTATCACCGCAAGGACGACCTCCGAGATTATTCTCACCATGCAGGATGAACTGGAAACGGAGGTAATGGTGAGTGACGCCATATGTACCATCTCTAATACGCCCCTGACGGGATGTTACAAGTGTGCGAAAGCGGCAGAGGCAGCTATAACCTGCAAATCTTCGAAGCCCATCCAGGCGGAAGTTTCATGCGAGGATTCGAGCTTCACAGTACCATGTGCTGTGGAATAACTTCCCTCATACGATTCACCTTTGCTAAAGCGCGTATTGGAATGATCTGTTCGGTAGAATGCGGGAACGTAAAATCTACGTTTAAGTTGGGCGGAGTGCTCAAATTCACGCATTCTGCGCAGATGATGATCTCATTGTGGCTGAAAGAAGAAACCACGGAGACCAACTGGTTCCAATGGCCAGATCTGTTCCACATTATGGACGTATTCCTACAATGGTATAAAACCTTGATTTCCGCGTTGATGGTGCTTGCACTAATGCTGATAGCAACATATATGTTCATAGTTACCTGCGGAAGCAAGATAATCAGCTCCACATTTCGAATATTACTGTGGTTTTTTCGCGTTATATGTCAAGCACTCTGGCTCCCACTACGCGTCCTCAGATGTTTTCGAAAAAAGCATAGGAAAACACTTTGAAGAGTTTTCTTTCCCTTCAAAAGTATCAAACAGTTCAAATAGGGGAGATAGCTGCGTGGAAAGGCTTAGCGAAAATTTTTGTCACAGTGGCTGTCACGATAATCACGTGTACTGTTCAACATTCGCGTATTTTAGCATGTCCGCTAGCGACCTGACCGATGCCGACTACCTTTCGCGTTTGATGCTCGAACCACATCATGAATGGTCAGCTGTTCAGAGCGATTTGGATAACATAGCCGAGCAGTTCACCCAAGAAATATGAGTGGTTGCGAGCCACAAACGGCAGTGGCACAGGACGCGTGAGGATGAGACGTTTCGTCTGGCCACTCCGGCAGCGAAAATCACTATTCTTTCTAAGCTGCTTCATAAAATAGAAAGCACGAAACAAGAAATATCGCGCTTGGGAGTACGGTCGGTCAAATTATTCTACGCCAATCTGGCTGATGCGGACAGAAGAAATAGAATCGGAAAAGAGATGCAAGTGGCACTACGCGTAATGGATGGCCATACCAAACAGTTGGCGGAACAGTAAGCAGAAATCGGAGCACAGATGCAGCGGGCCGAAAGTGACTTCAGAACAGGGCCGTGCTCAACCAATGCAGAGCAGATAAATGCACTTTTTCGAAAGACTTTTGAAGCCATAACTTCAGAAGAAAAGCAGAAAATGAACGAGCAGTTCCTCAAACTGCAGTCACAGCTCAACGATCAATCTAACGAAATAGCGCGTATGAAGGACCAACAAGCACAAGCCGCAGCATCGGTATCACAACAAAAGTTCGGAAACATCGAACCAACTGATAATGAATACTTTGATCAAAAGACGCGTGAGGTAAATGAGACGGAGGAGATGCCTGCTCTTGCAGCAGAAGAACCTGTCGTAGAAGAAATGGAAGTTCACGATTCACATCAGCATCGGCAGCAAGGAATTCAAGAGGTTGCCGATCCACCACGACTGTTCCAGCGCGTAGAAGAACAGGGTGAAGAAGAAGTATCACTGGATAACCCCAAATCAGACCACGACAGCAGTGAAGGCGAAATGGAAGAGTTGGAAAGGCGATGTCATCTCCTCGAACGAAGAATGGATCGTATTCATGCAGCATTCCTACGGTTTCCATACAGGAAGAAAGAATACCAATCACCAGGAATACCTGAAGATAAACGGTGCGCTTTCTGCTGGGCTAAAGGAGAACACTTCTCGGAATCATGCCCAAACGTAATACATGGAGATGAGAGAACAGAGATGATAGACGAAGTGGGTTTCTGCCGAATGTGCTTAGAGCTGTGCTCAATGGAAAGGGATTGTCCATACACAAATAAAAATGCTTCTACTGTGAACGAGTAAGAGGAACACCCTTCGAAGAGATGTCAGACGGTCTCGACAACCATCATAGCGCACTTTGTAACATACCGAATAGGAAAGAAGAAGCGCGAGAGATACTCAATAGAGCACGTCGAGACTTCAAAGAGGCGAAGATGGAACTCGAACTCAAGCAGAAGAAACGGCAGGAACTTGACGAGCAAGGGCCAAGTATGCCGAATAAGCGAAGACGACATGGGTACCCAAAGGAGGAACAGCCGAAAACTTGGCGCCGGGGGAGTGACGACAAACGTCGTCCCTAAATAATCCGGTAAGCATAGAGGTGACGGTTTCCATTTAACTTTATCCTTTCACTTAGCATATCTCGTAAGCAAAATGTAGGATACATTCTATTGATCGATACCAATATTTCTTCTAGGCTCCACGATCGAGTGAATGTAAGCGCAGCGGCGGAGGCGAGCTTGATCAAGATAAGGAGCCGCAACTGAGAGCTGTATATAAGCGTAGGAATGGAAATATGGGGGTTCATGATCTTCTCTAGCTGCGGCCAAGATCGGTGCTGTCTTATTCGCGTAGAATTCTGTTCCCTAACGTCACCGCGTAGAAGTTCAACAGTTCGTAGCTAATCGGAAGATTCTCTGGTTCGATATATACTGTATTTCATTCGGTCGATTGGGATAGTTAAGTGAGTCATAAATATTTGTTTAAGTCTGTTGTTTCACTTTCGAGTATAACCCGCGTGGCAAGTGTAGGAAGTAAGACAAGGATATTCGCGTGGAAGTGGAAACAACATAGCCACCCCAAGGCGAACTTCTTTCCATGCCCCGCCTTTGGCTCCGCGTCTTTTGCCTTCAATTGTCCATAAAGTGCACTTTTATGAGCTTGTTTCTCTTCGGAAACCATATCTTCATGCATAAAACTTTGTGTGCTGTTTCCAGTTATCACAACTGATATGTTCACGTTGAAAAGGTTGCAAGATTTTTCCGCGGAGGATTCCTTTAATTTGTATCAACATCCATTACCGATACCATATGTGTGATTTAATAAGACTAATAATACAGTCTCCTCCGATAGTTTTCACATTAATCTACGTAGTTTGGAATTCAAGCTGTTGTCTGGCGATCTCTCATCTGTAGCGGTCTCTCGCCCCATCCTTTCCTCTGCGCGCATAGTCTCATTACATTCAATAACGTGTCTCGGTGGTGAGCGGTGGCGTTGCCGGTCTCTCTTTCCGCTCGATCTTCTTTTTTATCCTTCTCAAAGTTTTCTTCAGTTTCCTTGCTGTTCTCCTTATTTATCTCACACTATTTGTAACAACCTTCCGAACAATAAATCTTATGTTTGGCAAACCCTTCTCTTTAGTCCTAAGCGCAGTTTTTATTTGGTGTGACTCCCTGGTTGGTTCTTTTGCCTTTCCTAGATCGATTGATCTTGGAAATACGCTGACAGCCCTGTCGCAAAAAATCCCTCAAGAGATGTCGGACTCCATTGAAGCGGACAAACGCTCTCGCAGTCTAGTTATCAGTGGTCTGGAAGAGGTCTCTCAGCAGCTGCGGCCCTCGGATCATCAAGTGGAGCTAGAGGAGTTCGTGACCTGCTGGATACCCTAGGAATCGAATGCCGCCCAGCGGAGATTTACCGAATAGGTAAACTCGAGGTTAACCGACCAAGGCTCGTGAAAGTGACACTGCCATCCAGAGCTCACTGGCCATGGCGCTGGGCATGGCCAAGAATCTCAGACGTTCGCCTTCTTCCAAAAATGTGTCTATAGGAAGAAGTATGAATTTGAGGAGAGGAAACGGGACTATGAACTGAGACAACAGGCTTACGAAAAAAATAATGGCAAGGATGAACGCGAGTAGGTAGTTTTTAAGGGCGAGTTGAGAAACATTAACGACCCCACTAGCCAAAAATCGGGTAACGAGTAGAAACGCATAAAAATCGACAGAATCGTTACTGGAAATGTTTTCTTCTCAACGCGCAGCATTACCAAGAAAATGGTTCACTTACATGACTTCTTATTGGAAACGAACTCTGATATAGTACACATAACAGAATCTTGGTTATCCTCGAATATTGTTTATACTGAATTGGTGTGTGGACTCCCTTACCTCGTATTCCGTAAGGATCGCAGCAGTAGAAAATGTGATGGGATCTGCTGCATTGTGAGATCTCACTTAAACTGTGTTGAAGTGGGACTGACTCTTAATATTGCACCGGAGGTTCTCTGTTGTGATTACTGTCAGACAAAGCAGCTTCCTCCTTGAGACTCATTACTGTCTATCGATCGCCGAATACCATATCTACTGGTGATGCCGTATTGATTGATCTGCTCTAGGATATCAGCTCTGCCCATAATCAAACAATTATTCTCAGCGACCTCAACCTCCAAATTGAGTGAAATCTGTCCAAATATCTGAACCACTCTGCCGCACAATTTCTCCAATTCTTCCGAATGGTGGTTTTACACAAGACGTGACGCAACTCACGCAAGGTCCCAATACACTAGAGATCATTCTGTCTTCGGCACCTGTGATCCGTGATGTAGTGGTACTGCCTCCCCTATCCACTTTGTATCATAGCGTCGTCTGGTTTGAAATTTTATTGATCAAGGCAACCCAATCTTCATGGTACCTTTACCTCTACCTGACCTCATGAAAGTAGATTTTCCAGAGTTGAACGTTTACCTCCACCATATTAACTAGCTTGAAGTATTCGATGAATACATCTCAGCTAATGATGTTTATAGAAGGTTCTTAAGGCAATTGTATGCAGCTTTTTCTCGTTTTGTGCCATTAATGGCCTCAATCCTATCAGCCTAGGTATCCTTCCCATATAAAAAATTTGATTGCTCAAAAGGATAGATTATTTATTCAGTCCCTCAGCCTACCAATGACAGTCGGTACAAAAAAGTCTGTTCCGATCTTGATCACCATATGAAGAAACAGGTGATCAATCGAAAACGACGTCTGTCGCAAGGTGCAAACCTAAAACAGATTTTTCGTTATATCAGACAGAGAACTAAATCTAATCATGATCTACCAACGATATCGGACGAAACAGGTGCAACGTTTACTCAGATGCTCAAAAGGCAATAGCCCTGGGTAGATACTTTACCAGCGTCTTCTCTATTCCTAGCTCGGATCGAGCCGCAATAAATATGAAGGGAATTCCCGAAATAACGCAGAGCCTTTCTGATATATTTTCCCATCCACATAATGTGGGAAGGGTATTAGAGCGCCTCCAGCCATCGACCTCCGAACGTATGACGGAGTACCACAGATAGTGTATAAGAGGTGCGCATTATCTCTGAGTGTTCCGCTAGCGCACATTTTCAATATTTCAATGCAGCTTGGTCCAACGTCCTAGATACCTGGGAAGAAGTCCTAGTGACGCCTAGTCCGAAAATCCCCACTTGCAAACTGGTCTCCGATTACGGGCCCGTTAGCATTACACCGGCACCGGCCAAGCTGATGGAAAGGGTTATTAGAGACAAGCTATTGAACTGGCTTGAATGATTTCACATGATTCCGAAAGAACACAGGGTTTCTTACATGGGGCCTCTACGGTCTCCAATTTGCTAGAGAGCTTGTCGGACTGGCAGTCTGCTCTGAATAACGGGAAATCTGTTGACATCGTATTTATCGATCCCTCGAAGGTCTTTGATAAAGTCTGCCACGTAGGACTTCTTGCCAAGTTTGAACACCTTGGGTGGTAAACTTTTTGACTGGCTTGAATCCCACTTGAGTGGCAGACACATGACTGTCAAAGATCGGCGCTGCTTCTCTGAGAGGCACCTCTGTCGCAGTGGTGTTCCTCAGGGAAGTGCCTTATCACCTATGTTGTTTATAATATACACAATGGATATCCCTACATCGCAACCTCACCTGAAGTTGTAATCCAAATGTATGCCGACGATATAAAAGTGTATGCAGTGTATGACATACATAACAAAGATGAGGTCCGAGCTGCATTGAAACGGTTCCTTGAAAAATTGACAGGATGGGCAACTCTTTGGGGACTGTCAATCAATTTCAGCAAATGCTCTGTTCTGCACCTAGGGGAGGTGCTGCCGTTTGATTATAAAATTAATGGCACTACCATTATGAGCTGTTCTAGTGTGAAGGATCTGGGGGTACTGTTACAGACGGATCTTAAATTCAGATCGATTCGGTGGTAAAGAAAGCCTTTGCCGCGCTTTCCACAATTTTTCGCAACATACAAATTAGGGAGCCGAAAATTTTTCTACGACTATATAATGCCTACGTGTTGCCTCACTTGAATTATTGCTCACAAATATGGAAACCCTCTCG